TAGTATGGACGAAACGGGATTATACTTCACCATGTTTCCGGATCGTACAGGCAAGCGATTAACAAAACGGTTGACAATTGCATTATGTTGTAATGCCGATGGGTCGGAAAAGCTACCACTGTTATTGATTGGAAAAGGGGAAAAACCCAGAGGCTTTACAAATACAACAGCAAAAGAGATGAATTACTTGCACACGGCAACAACGTTGATGACACGCGAGATCTTTCTTCAGTGGATCACTAACGTAAATATATACTTCAAAGAACAACAGCGTAAGTGTGTACTTCTTGTCGACAATGCTGCAGTACATACCGGGTATAATGTCGAGGAACTAACAAACCTAGAAGTCGTACTCTTCCCACCGGGTACACCTCCTCATTTGCAACCTATTGCTGCTGGAATTGTTGCTGCTTTTAAACGACGATACCGACGACGTCAGATTCAACAAGTACTGGATCAACTTGATGCCGACGCTGACATGAGTACTGCTGCAAAGTTCGACAGCATTGGTGTAAAACAAGCATTGACTTGGTGTACTGAATCATGGGATGCACTACCATCAACATTACTAACTAGTTGTTGGTATGAAACGGGATTGATTTTTGCCGACAATCTTAACTTTGTACACGAATCTCGCAGTGCTGAAGAGCATATTTCAGAAGAACTTGCTGTCATGTTGTCGTGGTTACATGCAGTTAATCCATTGACAGTAGATGAGCTAATTTATATGCCTGAAGAGAATGTGATTATGGACGAACCAACAGATGAAGACTTTTGTGTGCCTCTGGAGACTGTAAAGCTTGTGGTTCCCCAAATGAAGTCAAAAGCATTGGACTTGGACGGTGGTTTAAGTGTTGAAGAGCTGAAAGAGCGTCTTAAATGGATTGCCAAACTTCTCATTTATGCTGATGAAAAGGGTATATCAGCAGACTCCGTGAGTGGAATGCGCATTCTCCAACGTGACTTTCGTGATCAATTGAACAAAAGATTCGAAGGTATAAATAGTAATATTGTTTTATGAATAAAAAACAATATTAATCCTTATGTATGTGTGTACGTACACCATACTTCTCGAATAAAATAATTCTCGATATATGATATGTCAGGAGTGACATATGTTTAGATGATGATTTTATTTGGACTAAAAACCTCTTGCTAAAACACGAGAGCGTAATACTATATCATACAAACATTTACGATTGTGCTAAGTGTAAGTTTTATAGTCATGATATCTGCCGGCACTCATATCATGGGTACATATGAAACGCACTGCTATCTAATCTGGTTATACTATACCCAAAGTGCCATGAATGAGGTCCCTGACGCATCAGCAGAAGCAATTTTAAATTTAGCATTCACGTTACCAAGGCAGTCGAATGTAAGCTCGGCCACAATAAAAGCCAACGATGCATATAATGCTAGGATACACGACACCGTCCAGCAGACATGGTGGTCGCTACGATCGGGTCATATTCTGTCGGGATTATGCACATGGTCGTCCATTTAGCGGATGAAGCAATAGTGTTGAAGCTGATAACTGAATCAATGTAAGATCGATATTGTGAGAATATCTCCCTTGATACGACATAAGGAGTGACTGGTAGTCAGTACTGCAGCTAACTACTGCCCTACAAGAAACAAGTATTGCAGCAACTATCATTAAGCACTTCAGTCTGAGATTGCGTTAATCTTTTACGGTAGAACCTGTCTAAATTAAACCTGTTTAATTTAAAACCCTCTCGAAATTGAACAAAAGATATGGACCCAATATGTATCTTGTCTGACATGGTTGTGTGCTTAGCTCCACGTGGACCCATTGCTGGGCAATG